AAAAAAAAAAAAAGAAAATGCAATAAACAAAATACAGAAAAAATGGAAAGCCCTTCAGATATATTAGAGAATTTCAGAATGATCAAAGAATATTATAAACAGGTATATAGTAACATCTGATATAAGCGTAAATGGAAAATGTAAATGAACACATTAAATTGAAATGTTATAATGAGATATTTATGAAAATAATAACCAAGTTTTACTGACCAAGTAGTACAAGTAGTTTTATGAGTGAGTTCATAAAACTTTCAACAAATAGATATTTAATGTAAGTAGTTCCAGAAATTGAAAAATAGAAAATTTATCAATTCATTTTGTGGGCCTAGAATGATTCCAAAACAAACAAACAGAATAGAAAATAACATTTATGTTTTACCAACCAACATAGATACAATAATTTTAAATAAATTATTATTTAAATGTGACTGACTATGGTTTTTCTTAGATGTCCAAACAGTTCAACATAGAAAAATCTATCACTTTTTTCACTACACTAAAAGTACTGAATTGGAAGATTATATGTAAATTTTTTCCTAGAAGAAAAATAGTAGTTTGATACTAATTCTGTGATTAAAAACTCAGAAACTAGATGAAAATTATATACTAAAAATCTATAGCAAGCATTACAGCTTAACACAGTTTTGGAGGTCCAAGTTGATGCTAAAAGAAAATTTTTAAAATCTAAGATGTATAAGCTTTAGAAGCAAAGAGATAGAACTCTCCTTGTGTGCACATATTTCTATTAAAAAACCTAACAAAGTCAGCAAGTTATCAGAACAAGTAAGAAAAATTGCTGGATAAATAGTAAATGTTAAAAAATCAACAGCATTTCTCTAAACCAACAATAACCAACTAGAAAATATAAGAGAAAATAGTACCATATTAAATTACAAATAAACCCCTATCCATATATATATATACATATATATATATATATATGTATATATATATACACACACACACACACACATATATATGTGTGTTTGGATATAAATGGGTACATATATAGTTGTACATGGTACACTTTTTGTGTTTGTGTGTGTATATATATATATTATATATGTGTGTGTGTGTGGTATCTATACAAGAAATTTTAAATAAATGGAAAAATATTTCATGGTCACAAATATTTGAGTTTCTTTAATTAATATATATAATCCATACAATCAAAATTCACATGTAAGTATAAATATTCATGCATCAATAGCTAAACCAGTTTGGGGGGAAGAAAAGGAAGAATGAAGGTGAAAGTGATGAGTGGATGAAGAAGAGCTACAGTATTGATATGAACATATGCAGTGTCACTACTTTGAGAGCAGACAAATAAAACTCTGGAAGCATGAAAACATCCTGTGTTATATAAAAACTTTAAATATGATAAAGATGGCACCATGAATCAATGGAAATAGGACTTCTTATTTATGCTATGATGTTGGGAAAACAATTGTTTGGATAAAAGTAACATTGAATATCTCTCTCCCTTTCACCACACATAAAGATAAACTTATGATGATTTAAAGAACTAGGTAAAAGCTATATAACTGGTAGGATAAAATTTAGGGGAATATTTTTATAAATTAGTAATATAGAACCCTTTTGAAATGTGACTCCCCAGTACATAAACTCTAAGGCAAGGAAATTGTCATATTTCAGTACAACAAAAGTTAGGATTGAATTTCACAAAAAAACTATGAAAAAATTTGAAGAAAAGATGAGAGATCAGGAGAAGATAATTGTATCAAGTAAACATATTAGATTAATATCTATAATTCACCAGAAAAGTATAAGAATTGTCATGAAAATGGACAAAAATAATGTATAAGCATCTTGAAGTAAAAGTACTAGTAGCTAGAAAAAAGTTAAAGGAAACTCCTAAACTCATTGAATTAGGAAATCACATATTAAAACATCAGTGAGCTACCATCTAATACCCATTGGAATAGTAAAAGTCAGAAAGTTCAGTAATTCTAATTATTAGTGATGCTATGAAAGTGAAAATGAAAGTCGCTCAGTCATGTCCAACTCTTTGAGACTCTAGTTCATGGCGATCTCCAGGCCAGAATACTGGAGTGGGTAGCCTTTCGCTTCTTCGAGGGATCTTCCCAACCCAGGGATTGAACCCAGGTCTCCTGCATCGCAGGCAGATTCTTTACCAACTGGGCTATGAGGGAAACCCAATAAGGAGGTATGAGCTGATGGTTTGAGAATAACTCATAAATAATAGCAGTATTTGGTGAATTTATGTTTGCATGTGCATATTGAACCAAAACAAATTTGTAGCACAGTACTGTTTCTGTGAATATAAAACACAATACACAGCAAAGAGTATTTTACAAAGGAAAGCATGTATTTAAGACTGTATGTCTATCATATTACTGTGGATGCCTATGGTGATAGGAAGTGGGAAATGGAATGAAAAAAAAAAAAAATAAAGTAAAATAAATTAAGAGAAAAACCTTACCCCACCTAGGATAAACTATGAACTGAGAATTACAATTAATTTAACTCTTCTTCAAGATGAAGAAAACTATGGACTTTGTTTACTAGCTATGTTTAAAATTGCTTATGAGTCATGAAGATGCTGTCATTGAAAAAGCTTTTGTGATAAACCTAAGATTACAATCTAGCTCTCCAATTTCCTAGCTTTAGTAAGCCCTTCAACATTTGTGTCTCACAAGAGCCTCTTAAAACAGTTGAGCATTCATTATTATATCAATTTTATTATTAAACAAAAAAAGAGCTCAGAAAGATCAATTCACCTGCCTTTGCCCTACTGATAATAACTGGTGAAACTGGGACTTCCAACAGCTTTTAATTCCACTGTCCTAATACATCAAACTACAGGAAATGAACTATAGGCAACCACTCTCACCTAGGAAAATTACCATTTCATATGGTTTACCCTAAAATATAAATGTGTCTCTTTTTCTGGTAAACCATAAGCATTTGCTAATTTAACTCTAAGTAATAAGGTAGGAAAGATAGGGAGGGAAATACCAGCAGATGAACATTTAACATTGCTAACTTAAAAATTTTTGTAAAATTCAGCAATGCTTATTTGGAAAATCTTAATAAATGGTATAATATATTAGAGCACCAAGTTCTTAGATACTGTGAGTTTCAAGTGAAATTTCGTAGAAAAAGCTTCCATACTAAATAACCAGAAGTAAATCCAAATAAAGAAAATAATTCTTGTACCTCAGGAGAACCATATATCCAGGTATGGCAGATAAAGAATATAGGAAACTACTGAACACGGACAAGATTAAAAAGTACTGTAGCATCATGGAACAGTCCTTTCCTTTGGCACATAGCCCAAGAACTGCAGATGAATTTCCTGGTGTTCGAATGCAGCTACAATTTTGGAACACCTGTCAAAAATAATATATTACCTTATGTAAGGAAGGAAACTCTTGAACACAAATCTTAAATGTTTTCTTTTCCCAGTTAGATCAAGATAGATGTTGTTTACTCCCTTTATTCTCATATACTTTATGATCTGTCTCAGGATTATAGCATGTGACAAAACATAGAAGGGTGGTTTCCAGAAAATGGTACTTCTTTCTAAATTTGTTAAGTAAATTTGCAATAACTCAGCTGTCCTAAAGTCATGCTTTTTACAAACGCACACTATTTTGACATACACTAAATATAACAAAATTTGCTTCAGAATGCCCAATTAAAGTATTTAGATACTTACCAATAAACAAAGCTTTGTTTAAAATAAAGTTTATTTCACAAACAGAATAAAGTCAACCCTTTTTGAATTCTTACTTTCCCAGGTTTTAATAAAAATCAAAATTTATATTTTATTTTGATCACTAATCAAGATTTTAAGTGACATTTTTTAAGCAAGAAAACATGCCCAATTCCATCTTCTTAAAAAGCTGTCAGGATGTAAAAAACACAGAAAGCGCATGTGTATATACACAGAAAGAAGGAAAAATTAGCAAAACAATTGACTGGATAATGGAGATCAAAACTGCCAACTCTATCTTGGTCGATAGTATTATTTTTCAGTCTAGATAGTTTTAAATGAAGTTGAGTAATCATGTCAATTGCTATGAAGCTAAACATCAATGCTCAGAAATGCTAAAGCGTTCAAATAAGATCTAGGAAGTTAAAATATAAACCAAGTGAACATACACAATCAGTCCCTTACACACAACCCTTCAAGTTTTGAACTTTTAAAGATGTCAGCCTGCATTCACACATCCAATCATGTAAGTCAGCTCGTGTGTCTGGCATACACAGTCATGTGTATGTATCACCTACAGGAGGTTGTGCTTTTGTGTCCTTTACTGTGAAAGTGAAAGTTGCTCAATTGTGTCCGACTCTTGGCAACCCCATGGACTATACAGTCCATGAAATTCTCCAGGCCAGAATACTGGAGTGGGTAGCCTTTCCCTTCTCCAAGAGATCTTCCCAACCCAGGAATCGAACCCGTGTCTCCCGCATTGCAGGCAGATTCTTTACCAGCTGAGCTACAAGGGAAGCCCAATACCACACAGCACAGTACAGAGCACAGTAGTGCAGAATGTTCATTTCAAGCACAGCATGTCTGGAAGCACGCGTAAGAGCAGCGATGATGTAGCTTGTACTGCTAAGAAGCACCAAGCAGTAACGATGGAAACAAACGTGAAAATAATTGAGAGAGTGGAGTGAGGTTTAAAGATGGTAGAAGTCACTTGTTCTTATAATATTGAAGTCCTTTCTGTGCAACACAAGGAGCTTACTAATAAAGACCTGATAGAACTGGAGGCCCAGAGGAAGGACAGAGACAAGAGGAAGAAGTAACTGAGAAAATGAAAAGATTCACAAGCCAGGAAATGGCAAGGGCATTTTCCTTATTTGAGGAGGCACTGTTAGTTTCTGAGGCACCGAACACAAACGTAGGACAGTGCACAGTCTAGCGCTACTGTGGCATCTCTGATGGGAAACAAAGTGCTACTATCCAGAAGTCACTGGATCCGCTTTTCAAGAGGGTAGATTCCACTGAATCCAGCAAGAAACAAGGACCTGTGCCACCAGCATCAGGTGTGAGTGAAGTCGAGGCTTGCCCTCGGTCTCCTCCTGCTGACGACCCTTCCGTCTACCATCTCCCACCTCCCCGCCCTCCGCCCAGCAGTAACTCTTCTCGATTGTTCACTCACTGCCAGCCCCTGAATTGCCAGCTCTTGTACTGGACTACTGTACTTTTCAAGGTATTGTACTGTAAGGTTAAAAATGTTTATTTTGCGTGCCTGGTTCTTTTGTATTATTTGTGTGAATGTATTATAAACCTATTACAGTACAGTATTACAGAGCCGATTGTGTTAGTTGGGTATCTAAGCTAAATTTGTTGGATTTACAAACAAATTGGATTTACAAACGAGCTCTCAGAATGGAATGCATTTGTATGTAGCAGATATACTATAGAAGATAACATTTTTTTCACTAAAGTTTCTAATTTGGTGTTGAGGAAAGACTAATTTTACTTTTGTCGAATATGGACCAAGTTCATAGCTGGAATGTACCAATGCAGTTCATAAGACCAAAGTTCTGTTAGAAAAAAAAGAAAAAGGCCACCAGGATGTTTTACCATTTTTCTTCCCGTGCCAGAGGATACCTCACAACCAGCAAGACAAGCTGACATGTATGACAAGCCGTTGTTTCCACACACAGGGTCCCACACTTTAGTTGGACAGTTACAAACCATGTTGCAGTCAGCAAGGAAATTTTCCACGTGTAAATCTTGATGCACTCTGAAATGATTTAAAATAATGCCATAGATATTGAAAGAATATTAGAGCCTTTTCATCTCAATTCACAAGTCTATTTCTTCTGCTCCCCAAAATAGAAACAGAAATCTTTCAACTGTCAATATATGGCCTGGATATTATAACTCTGGCCTAACAGATACCTTGCTTTGGTGACTGTAGCCACTTTTTTCAATGATTTCTTTTAAGTAAATAAAAGCCAGTAAACAAGCATTAACTGAAAACCTACTATACAGAAAGTATTTTTCCAGGTATTAATCAGAGCTCAAAAATGAAGATAAATAAATCCCTATGTTTGGTCCATGCATGCATGCTAAGTTGCTTCAGTCATGTTTGAATCTGTGTGACTCTATGGAATGTAGCTCACAAGGCTCCTCTCCGTCCCTGGGATTTTCCAGGCAGGAATACTGGAGCGGGTTGCCATGCCCTCCTCCAGGGATCAAACCCATGTCTCTAACATCTCCTGCATTGGCAGGTGGGTTCTTTACCACTGGAGCCACCTCCATATGGTGGCAAAGTAACAAGAGAGATTATTGTTTTATAAAAGTGATCCCAAAGGCTCAAAATCTATAAGTGCAATTTATAATGCAGATAATATATTTAGCTCCAGAAATGTAACTATTTGAGTAAACAAATACAGTCTTCTAGTAAGAAAAGCTGTTCAGTGATGATCAAGAAGACCAATTCACTGCTACCCTTAAACAGACACTGCTGTGAAAATCCCAGAACCCAGCAATGAGACCAAAGTGCCCCCTGAATCACAGAGACCAAGAATGATGACCTCAGAAAGATAACAGGAGCAGTAAAACTCTGACTGGAGGGCTCCTCCCCCAGGTTAGCACAGCACCACGTCGAGAGAGCTCCCCTCCGCTTATGGTTTCTCCGGTGCGAAAAGAGAGCCCAGTGTCCCCAGATTGGGGCAATCTTCCCAGAAAGCCCACTGAGGGATCACCGGGGTCTGCAGAGTCTGACCCGAGAATATATAATGTATCAAATCATCAGATTATACCTGATGGTTTTTGTCATTTATGTCTTAATAAAATCAGGGGGAAAAGGACATGACACAGAGAAAGACAAACATTATATGATATAACTTATATGTGGAATCTAAAAAAAATGATACAAATGAACTTATTTACAAAAACAGAAACAGACTCACAGACATAGGAAACAAATTTATGGTTACCAAAGTGGAAGGAGAGGAGGGATAAAACTAGAAGTTTGGGATTAACTGATATACACTATGAAAATAAATGAAATGGCATAAAAAATAGTTTATGTAAAATAAATAAGAACCTACTATATATCATAGGGAACTGTGTGTGTGTGTGTGTAACTGAATCACTTTACTGTACAGCTGAAACTAACACATTGTACATCAACTATATTTCTGCTGGGAGCCAGCACACAAGATCCCACCCATGACAAGGTCATGAGGGAGAAAATCTGACGAGCAAGGCAGATCAGGTTTTCAGGGATTTCGAAAAGCTGCCCCCGGCGCTCACCTTAAAGATGATATCTGTCTTTCTGATGCTTGCTTCAATAGACTACTCCCTAATTTCTGTGACACAGGCAGAAGGCCTTCCCCGATCTCTTTCCAAATAAGAATCAATTTAGAACTTTAATCAATAAGTTTCCCAGGTGGTGGTATTTTATGAGATTATCCAGGGTGAAAGGAGTGTTTTAATTTAAACTCCTTTGCTGGCAGTTTGTTAGCCAAATGCATTTATGCCCTTAGTGCTAATATACATGATTGCTTATAATATCCTAATCATAAACTAGCATAAAGAACCTGATTATATAAAGGCCCTAATAGACATAGAACCTTTCTGAGGGGTGAAGGAGTCCTATTAGAAAACAAAAAAAAATTATTCTAAAGGTTGTTATTGGGTTGACGTTTGCTTGCTGTGTTTTGCTTGCTGTGTTTTTGCTTTTAATGTGCTAAAGTTGTGTTATAGAAACCATTGTTAATATAGTTAAAGATCTAGAGAAATAAGAACTTAGCCCTAGTGTGGTAACAATGCAACTGACAATTTCTGCAGAAGGATTAATTTTTGTATTAACAAGATTATACTTCTACTCTGTACTGTTGCCCTATGAGACTGCTACCTTTCAGTTAAGGTCACCATAGAAGCAGAAAACAGGTTTACATTCACCTGACTTGCACAAAATGTTAATAGGCCCCAAGGCCAGAAGATAATGTACAAGACCCTCATAAACAAAGAAGTATGCAGAAAACACCCTGGTTTTGTGAAGAACAAGCTGATGTAATGTTAAACTATCTTCCGCTTATAAATGTACTAACTTAGGGTATATAAAGCTATAGTAAAAAATAAAGCATTGCCAGACCCTGCCCCCGTCTGATCACACTCTCTCTCTCTCTCTCTCTCTCTTTTTCTCTCTCTCTTTCTCTCTCTCTCCCTCGCAGACTTGGCCCTATCAAGGCTGGTCTCACGTGTCCTCTCTCTCTCGCCGACACTGTTCATCCCGAGGGTACCCCCTGGATCCTGCCAAGGCTGGACCCCGGCATATTCCAATTCAAAAAGAGGGCTTCCCTGGTAGCTCAGCTGGTAAAGAACCCACCTGCAATGCAGGAGACCCCAGTTCAATTCCTGGGTCAGGAAGATCTCCTGGAGAAGGAATAGGCTACCCACTCCAGTATTCTTGAGCCTCCATGGTGACCCAGCTGGTAGAGAATCTATCTGCAATGTGGGAGACCTCGGTTCAATCTCCGGGTTGTGAAGACCCCCTGGAGAAGGGAACAACTACTCACTCCAGCATTCTGGCCTGGAGAATTCCATGGACTATACAGTCCATGTGGTCACAAAGAGTCACACCCTACTGAATGACTTTCACTTTCTTTCAATTTAAAAACAAATCTAAAAGTCTAATTACAATAGTTTTCTTGTGCTTAATGTAATATGATAAAAATGAACCCTAGCATGGGAGTCTAGAAACTGAATTAAAGTCCTGGCTCATGACTAGATGATGCCTTTTTATACATTTGCTCTGGGAATCAGGATAATTGGACATGGAGATAATCTTTAAGATTTTCAGTTCAGTTCAGTTCAATCACTCAGTCGTGTCCAAGGCTCTGCGACGCCATGGACTGCAGCACATCAGACCTCCCTGTCCATCACCAACCCCCAGAGTTTACTCAAGCTCATGTCCATTGAGTCGGTGATGCCATCCAACCATCTCATCCTCTGTCATCCCTTCTCCTCCTGCCTTCAATCTTTCCTAGCATCAGGGTCTTTTCCACTGAATCAGTTCTACACTTCAGGTAGCCAAAGTATTAGAGTTTCAGCTTCAGCATCAGTCCTTCCAATGAATGTTCAGGACTGATTTCCTTTAGAATGGACTGGTTGGATCTCCTTGCTGTCCAAGGGACTCTCAAGAGTCTTCCCCAACACCACAGTTCAAAAGCATCAATTCTTCAGCATTCAGCTTTCTCTATAGTCGATCTCTCACTTCCATACATGACTACTGGAAATACCATAACTTTGACTATACAGACCTTTGTTGACAAAGTAATCTCTGCTTTTCAATATGCTAAGTTGGTCATAGCTTTTCTTCCAAGGAACAAACATCTTTTTATTTCGTGACTGCAGTCACCCACCATCTGCAGTGATTTTGGAGCCCCCAAAAATAAAGTCTATCACTGTGTCCATTATTTCCCTATCTATTTGGCATGAAGTGATGGGACCGGATGCCATGATCTTAGTTTTCTGAATATTGAGCTTTAAGCCAACTTTTTCATTCTCCTCTTACACTTTCATCAAGAGGCTCTTTAGTTCTTCTTCACTTTCTGCCAAGGGTGGTGTCATCTGCATATCTGAGGTTATTGATATTTCTTCCCGCAATCTTAATTCTAGCTTGTGCTTCGTCCACCCTGGCATTTCGCATGATATAATCTGATTACATTTGCATGATGCAATCTAATAAATACTCATATTATGTATTTGACATGATTCTAATCATATAGTCCTTGATAATTTTAAAGGAACCATTTTATGATTCTCTTAATTTCATCTTAACTAATTACTCCTTTATCTAGATATGTCCTATAAATGAATTTTTAAAATTCACATCAATATGCAAAATCTTCCTGTGAACCCAGGTAACCCTCAAAATATGAATCTAAACCCATTCAATGATATAGATATATATATTCAAATAAAATATATAAATGTATTTTTATACATTATTATACATTATATATTGTAATGTATATTATACATTATACATTTTTATAGCATTGCTATACATGTGTTATGATTCAGTTAAGCTAAATTTAAGCCCATCAAGGAAAGATATAAAGGTAATATATAATATAAAATATATAAATATAATATATATAATATAAATATAAAATATAAAGGTATATATATATAGTCAACTCTTAATTTTACCTATTTATGGTTGTATAAAATGTATGCATAACACATCCTAACACAACCTAAAACCATAGGTAGTTTCTGTGATCTTCATTTTACTGTCTACTAGGATATCACAAAGACACACAAACACAATCATAAATTCACTCACTCTGTGATATATTCCCAACCTTTTTAATAAGATGGAGAAAGACCACAGATTAACTCCAATGGGCAACTAATCTGGTCATGGATAATCATTATGGAAAATATTAACAGTTGAAAGAGTATAATATTCATTAGAAAACAACATACCCTTCATAAGACGTGGTGATGCCAGCAACTGAAGAACTATCACAGATCATGAAAAAACACAAAAAATAGAAAAGATACTCAGTAAAAGATAACCAACATCCTATGTGGGCAGCTTGTATGACAGTAATCTTGAACTTCTTCATAATTAAACCGCCAACTATATATCCAATGCATATTGGAGGGAAGTTATAAATACCTATAAATGCAATTAGAATATTATATACAAAGTGACATAGCGAAGGAACAAATATTATAACACATTGATCTACTACGTCTTATGTAAAAAATCATTTAGGTCCAACTTATAGTGAAGAAGTTTAATTTAAACTTATCCCTACTTAGTTACATATTACATACAAGGAGATTTTTAAATACTCCCACAACATCAAAGTAATATTGGAAGACTGTTATTACTATCATGTATTTAATTAATAGAAGAAGTATGTAAATTTCTTGTCTGAAAGGATTATGTTCTATATCTTTTTTCTTAGGATGCAGGTAGAAGTGACAAATCAAAGTCATCCAGCCATTTATTACTTCCTGTTCTTTGGGTGGGATTATATATATAATGATTTATATGTAATGTATATTGTTAAATCATAAATAGTAATAGTAAATCATAAATAGTATGATTTGTATGATTCTACAGCTGTTTATTCCCACTCTGATTGTTAAGAATTTTACTCAGCTCAAGGTATTTTAAAGATATTTTGCTGAGCCTGTAATTGTCAAGTGTCTTTACATTCCATGCCTTACTGCTACTGACTAGCATTCTCCCTCCCCTAATCCCCTAATAAAGGAAAGAAAAAAGGGGGGAAAAGAGAGCCCTAGGTTACATCCTTACAATACCAAGGTCTGTCTACTGAATCACATTCTTGGAAGAGCTTAATATCCATTCTTGAGTCCCATACCAGAGAGTCCAATTTAGTATGTTTGAGATGGGTCCTAGGTATATGGACTTTAACACTCTAGGTGATGTGGATACATGTAATCTGGAAATTCTCCTTTCAAAACAGTAAAAAGATCTCAGGAAAAACTCAAGGTGGAGTAGAACTATGGAGTTGAGAAATAGACTGCTTCCTGCCATAACAGTAAATAAAGGACAGCACAGTCATCAGCAGTTGTAGCCACCACAGATGGCGAGCTGGTGAGCCCTGAAGGAGTTCAGGAAAGAAAGAATACGTGACATCTAGCAGCTATCAGACTGCAGCCACTCCCTATGGTGAGCCCTGAGGATGTGAAATTCAGGATGTTAAAACACCCAGAACCGGCCCCAGATAGCTGAGATGCATTTCAAAGGAATGATTTCAGTGAGCCCAGACTTCATCAAAGTAATATTGGAAGACTGTTATTACTATCATGTATTTAATTAATAGAAGAAGTATGTAAATTTCTTGTCTGAAAGGATTATGTTCTATATCTTTTTTCTTAGGATGCAGGTAGAAGTGACAAATCAAAGTCATCCAGCCATTTATTACTTCCTGTTCTTTGGGTGGGATTATATATATAATGATTTATATGTAATGTATATTGTTAAATCATAAATAGTAATAGTAAATCATAAATAGTATGATTTGTATGATTCTACAGCTGTTTATTCCCACTCTGATTGTTAAGAATTTGACTCAGCTCAAGGTATTTTAAAGATATTTTGCTGAGCCTGTAATTGTCAAGTGTCTTTACATTCCATGCCTTACTGCTACTGACTAGCATTCTCCCTCCCCTAATCCCCTAATAAAGGAAAGAAAAAAGGGGGGAAAAGAGAGCCCTAGGTTACATCCTTACAATACCAAGGTCTGTCTACTGAATCACATTCTTGGAAGAGCTTAATATCCATTCTTGAGTCCCATACCAGAGAGTCCAATTTAGTATGTTTGAGATGGGTCCTAGGTATATGGACTTTAACACTCTAGGTGATGTGGATACATGTAATCTGGAAATTCTCCTTTCAAAACAGTAAAAAGATCTCAGGAAAAACTCAAGGTGGAGTAGAACTATGGAGTTGAGAAATAGACTGCTTCCTGCCATAACAGTAAATAAAGGACAGCACAGTCATCAGCAGTTGTAGCCACCACAGATGGCGAGCTGGTGAGCCCTGAAGGAGTTCAGGAAAGAAAGAATACGTGACATCTAGCAGCTATCAGACTGCAGCCACTCCCTATGGTGAGCCCTGAGGATGTGAAATTCAGGATGTTAAAACACCCAGAACCGGCCCCAGATAGCTGAGATGCATTTCAAAGGAATGATTTCAGTGAGCCCAGACTTTTGTATTTTTCCATACATAGAAAAGTGCTAAATTGCTTAACTTGCCATATCTGGTTTCCTTTAATTAGCAATCATCTTTTGATGTTCTGACTACCTGCCCTTTGTTGAAAAACTTTATAACCTAGCTCCTCACTCCCTTACCTCTTAGAAGCAGTTCTCTCAGGGGGTTACTTGAGATGCTATTTCCCAGGCTAAAAGTTCTAAAAATTTCTCCTGAATAAGCCATAATTCAGCTTTTAGGTTGTGAATATTTTTTAAGTCCACAGAGATTAGCGTGGTAGCAGGAAAATCAGAATATATGCATAGCAGAGATATCTCAAAATACCAGAAGAGGGGCTTCCCTGGTGGCTCAGTGGTAAAGAATCTGCCTGCTGATGCAGGAGACATGGGTTATATCCTAGAGGATCCCACATGTCATGGGGCAACTCAACCCTGGTGCCACAAATAGCTTGTGCTCTAGAGCACGGGAGCTGCAACTACTGAGCCCACATGCTTTTCAACTAACTGAAGCCCACACACTCAAGAGCCCCTGCTCCTCAACTAGAAAGTAGCCCCTACTCACCACGACTAGTAAAAGCTAGGACATAGTCACAAAGATCCAGCATGGCCAAAAATGCATAAATAAATAAATAAAATCAGAGGAGCTGAGGAGCTAAATTAGAAACCATGGAATTAATGGATTGGAGCCAGAAAAGCAAAATCTGGAAGTGAAATACAACTCCTGATGAGTTAACTGTCTTACTTTTTACATGAACAAATTACCAATGTGAAAATTTTATCACACGCGCATTCCCCAAGATTTCTACAAACATTTCATATTTGCATTCTGACTCGAGAAAGAACTAAGTGTGTTAGTCACTCAGTTATGTCCAATTCTGCGATCTCATGGACTGTTGCCCACCAGGCTCCACTGTCCATAGAATTCTCCAGGCAAGAATACTGGAGTGGGTTGCTATTTCTTTTTCCAGGGGATCTTCTCAACCCAGAGATTGAACCTAGATCTCCTGCACTGCAGGCAGATTCTTTACCTTCTGAGCCACCAGGCAAGCCCAGAGAAAGATTCAAAGAGAAAAAAAAATCAGGATTCTCTGTCTTCTCCCCTTCCCTACCCTCTCACGATTTCCCTGGAAGCAGAAGGGGGACAGTACCGCAGGCAAAAATATCCCAACAGATTTCAATTGAGGAGTTTCCTAGATTCATTATCACACTGTTCAGCATTTCATGGGGAAAAAAAGTCAGCTACAAATACAGAGAAGAACAAACATACCCATGAGAAAGATTGCCTCTGAAGTTGATTTTCCATAGTGCTGTTCCATATATTTAGGCATGAAGGAAATCATACTGACAAATGCGTTGAACTGCAGCACACTTATCAGTATGAAAAGCATGTAAATTGGGTTGAATAAAAGACTTTTCATGAAGGGTAAAAAATCTGAAAGGAAAGAATGACAAAGGTGTCACACTCAGTTGGCTTTGCATTTTATGACTGACTTTTTCTTAAATATCAACCTCCCCTCTAAATTCTGTTTTCCTGTTTTGTAATGCACACTACAAAATGTGCATTACAAAATGATTGATTTTGATTCTTTTTACCCTTTGAAACATAAAGTTGTATCATTGTTTTGGTAGCTTCTCCAAGTCAGTGAGACTGCTGACTGGACATGGATCAAAACACAAACATTTACCTTCACTAAGTTACTATCGCGCCTTCAGGAAAAAGCGTAACATGAGTAAAATATTGTTCGAGTTCACACCATTTCCTTTTTTATCCTTCTTTTTTCCTCTACTATTATCCTCTCTTTAGATATTGTCTAGCATGAGAGATACTTATTCTCTCGTTCTGTTCTCTGAAGTCAGGAAGGAAATTAATTTGATAGAGAGGTTCACATTTGATATTATCATTCCTGAGCATTTAAAATGAAGACACATGTGGAAATTCACAGCATAAAAATTTTCTCAAGTACTAGGTTCTCTGCTTCTGCAGTACAATTTTGGTGGTTCTGCTTATGGTTCACAAATAATCTCTTAAAATAGGTCTCATGCCTGAGATCCTGATTCATTTGGTATACACTAAGAATATACCATGCAAATCATTTGGTATATAATAAAGATACACTTTACATACTGTGTAAATGCTTTAACCAAAACATTTTCCTGTGTGTATGGACTAAGAAAGCTCAGAGTCAAATTTGTGGCCTAGCCCTGGCAAAGATTCTGGGTCATGCTGCCTGCATTTGGGGTCAAAGTGTCACTTACGGTTTCTTTTTACTTCTCCTATCTTCACGTTCTTCATCTTGATTTCCTTGCTTATCATATACTATCTTAATTTGCTTCATAAACTGCCTAATAACCATCTAGAACAAACAATCAATAAATAAACTGGAAGAGAAGGAAAGAAATGAATCTAGTTGTAGGATTCATATTCATGAATAAAGTCATGGCCGGGGAGAAACGTGTCAGAGCTCTTTGAAGCTTCTTAGGTTACCCATGTTTCTTGACATTCTGTTATAATAGATGAGTCTGAGTAGTTTCTATTTATTTTCTAGATTTCTTATTCTGAGTTAAGCCCTTGTTATCCTTTCCTGTATCAAATACAGAGAATTACATGACCTGTCATTTTTCTTTTTCTGCCTTAGCTTCCAAGAAGCTCACAGATAAGCTAGTATTTTTGTCTCAGAACTATATAGTATTTATTTTGATTAGCATATATCTTTCCTCTTTTTATCCTTGGTTTGAATTTCTTTTTTAATTAGATCTATGCTCTCTATCAGAGAAGGCAATGGTAAACCCACTCCAGTACTCTTGCCTGGAAAATCTCATGGATGGAGGAGCCTGGTAGGCTGCAGTCATCGGGTCGCTAAGAGTCAGACACGACTGTGCGACTTCACTTTCACTTTTCACTTTCATGCATTGGAAAAGGAAATGGCAACCTACTCCAGTGTTCTTGCCTGGAGAATCCCAGGGATGGGGGAGCCTGGTGGGCTGCCGTCTATGGGGTCGCACAAAGTCGGACACGACTGAAGCGACTTGGCAGCAGCAGCAGCAGCATGCTCTATATAAAATAGTTTTTTAAGGCAAATGGGGACAGATTTATTTACATATTTATTTGAATGCCCAGCTTGACATAAAATTTTATATAAATGCTGATCTGAGATGATTCAGCTTCTAAATAATATTGCTTACTTTCATGTAGTAGCATGTGAAGAATCAGACTAGCTAGAAATTGACTGCTGTCTGTTAATATCAAATTGTCTTCATGTAGCCTAGCACACTGTAATGTCAGAGTAAAATACAGACACAATTATAGAAAATAAAAGGAAATTATATAGACTTGAAATGTTTATATTTGCCTTTAGTGATTCCATCCCTTTCCTTCTTGACGTCTCCTTGTTTCTCTTTGTCATTTTTAATGGCCTCAGCATTATCCTCTAGTCCTTCCTTTGGAAGCGTTTTGGGCAAAAAGAAAAAAGGAATGGCAGTGAGCACATTCACTCCTGCACAAATCAAAAAGCCAATCCACCATGCACCAACCCAACGAGTATCAGTGGGAGTTATGGTCAGATCGTCTGTAAAGAGATATACATATTTTTTTATTAGCTTAAGTCATCATTTCCTATACAAGCTATAGAAAATTATTACCATTACAACCATCAAGTTCTAGCCAAGTATAGAATTTGCATAAAATTCAGACACTGATAAAACTTGTCTGAAAACATACGGTATTACAATGTTGCCTAGCAGTAAACTAGTTTGACTATTTGTCCTACCAGGTAAGGAATTAATAAATAGGTACAAGGGCTTCTCAGGTGGTAAAGAATTCCCCTGCCAATGCAGGAGATGCCAGAGACTCGGGTTTGATCCCTGGGTCAGGAAAATTCCCTGGAGTAGGAAATGGCAACCCACTCCAATATTCTTGCTTGGGACATCCCATGGATAGAAGACTGGTGGGCTACAGTGCACAGGGTTTCAAAGAGTCAGACACAACTGAGCACACAAAATATATATATATATAAATATGTACATATTAATTAGATATAAGGGGACTTCCCGTATAGCTCAGTTGGTAAAGAATCCACCTGCAATCTGGTTTGATTCCTGGGTCAGTAAGATCCACTGGAGAAGGGATAGATTACCAACCCCGGTATACTTGGGCTTCCCTTGTGGCTCAGCTGGTAAAGAATCCACCTGCAATGCAGGAGACCTGGGTTTGATCCCTGGGTTGGGAAGATCCCCTGAAGAAGGGAAAGACTACCCACTCCAGTATTCTGGCCTGGAGAATTCTGTGGACTGTATAGTCCATGGGGTCACAAAGAGTCAGACACAACTGAGTGACTTTCACTTTCACTTTCTACCTTGTTATCCACAAATGATTGCTTGATTTTAAAAAATTCAAACCTATGTGCTTAAATTTCCTGAAAAAAAGAAATATGACCCATGCGATAGAATGAGTATTGGATTCTGTGTTAGAACATCACCATTTTATCATGCTCTCCTGTTCACTGGTTTGAAATACTTGAAAAATTATTTAAACTCCTCAACCTCAACTTGGTCACCTGAAAAGTGGAGATTCTATCTGAGGGTCAAGTAAGCAAAATTTAAATGTGATGACATACTTGATGATGCTTTGTGTATTATAGACATTGTATAGATTTTATGGAATTACCTGTGTTCACCGATTCAATGTCAACATAAACATTTGCACAGAATGACGCTAATGAAAGACCAATCAAAGGACCAATGATAGCTCCTGTTTCGATTAACCCTAAAAATGAAGGTAAACGTAAAGTTATGGTAAAGTACTACACCCACAAAAAGAGGTCTAATCAAATGAAGAGTCTGAGGATTGAATTGTTTTTACCTTAGATATTTTTGTCTTACGTATTCAATCTGTTGGAAACTTAAACTTGATTTACAATAAGTAACACAGTTGTTTCTTTAAATGTTGAAAAAGGAATCTCATAATTTGATGCCACTTTCTCTAGGCCTCCAAATTCTCTTTCATGCCAGGTTACAAGTAAAGACTTGTGGCTAGAAGTGACTGGCTGCAGCAGGATGAGGATATTGTATGCAAACTCCCTTCTCCAAGATGAAAATATCCCTTTTCACTCATGAAAGACTAACTTACTTAAAATGATCAGAGTGTTTGTATGACTCCATTCCTTAATAATAATTTTGAAATGAAACTAAGGATATGTGAATCTTTAAATTCTATGGCATCAGATTCCACAATCTCAAATTGATCTGGTAAGTTGTTAAGACAAAGATTAGATTAGTAGACTGTCCATATTATGATTCAACCATTTTCTCTTGTGGTTGGTTCTCTTGTAGGTTGGTTAAAGTGATAGCCTTTTATGGCGAATTCTGTTGTGTTTTGTGAGTAAACCATTACTGTGTCCCATATTGGGATAGAATTTTCAATACTGTATCATGGGTGGACATTTTTATTACAGCTGAGATCTTGCTATTGAAAAAGTCACAATATAGAGCAAAACCCTTCTGATGTTTTCCACAGTCATATTTTTGAATGAATTTTAAAGCAATATCAGGTTATGATAAATTTCTTGTGGCATATTTTCAGAAAAAATTCATTCCCAAATCAACAACTTGATAATGTCCTTAAATGCACAGACTTTTAAATTTTGATAAAGTCTAATTATCTATTTTTTTCTCTTGTTGCTTGTGCTTTTGGTTTCATATTTAAAAACTGTTGTCTAGTTCAAAGTCATGAAGATTTATACCTGTGTTTCCATCTAAGAGTTTCATCAGTTTACCTCTTACATTTAGGTCTTTTATCCATCTTGAGTTAAATTTTTGTATATGGTACCAGGTAGGAATCCAAATTCATACTTTGGCACCTGGATAGCCAGTTGCCCTTTCACCATTTGTTGAAAATAATCTTTTCTCATTGAATGATCTTAACATCTATCTTAAAGTCAATTAACCATAAAGGTATGGGTTGATTCCTAGACTAGCACTTCTATTTTATTGACCTATATATCTACCCTTGTGCCAGAATCACAGTGTTATTATTGTAATTTTGTATCAAATCTTGAAATCAGAAGTGTGAGTCTGTTTTGTGTGTTTTTTTGTTTGTTTTATTTATTCATTTATTTTTGACTGTGCTGGGTCTTCGTTGCTACATGGGCTTTTCTCGAGTTGTGGTGAATGGAGGCTACTCTCAGTGCAGAGCACGGGCTCTAGGGCACACAGGGTCAGCAGCGGTGGTACATGGGTTTAGTTGCCACAGGCATGTGGGATCTTCCTGGGCCAGAGATCAAATCCGTATCCCCTGCACTGGCAGATGAATTCCCAACCACTAGACCACCAGGGAAGTTCATTGTTACTTTTTAAGGATGTTTTGGCTGCCCAGTGCCCCTTGCATTTCCACTTGCATTTTAAGATCAGCTTGTCCATTTCTCCAAAAATAAAAAGCAACTGGTATTATAATTTTCCTAGGCATTGCACTGAATATGTAGATCAATTTGGGGAATACTCCCAAGTTAGAACACTTGAACTTTTTCTGGTTCTATCCTCACTTTTAATGATACTTCTCTTCCATCTTACTGTCATATCCTTTCTTACCCTCCACATCCCCCTTCATCCTCACTTGACTTTTTACTCATCTGGATTGTTATCATCAGCTATCTCATGACTTGTCTATAATTCTGAGTCTATAGTGATCCTTCCCTGCTTCCATTAAAGATCAAGGCATGAGCTTCTTCAACTTTCTTCCTCTTTATTTCAAAATAGATCTTCAGGTATTGCTTATGCCTTCTCCATAGTTCTATGGGTTAGTCCACCCTGTACACACCTGACTTCTTGATACTAACCCTGTCTGTCGTCTCTGATGTCTTGTTCAACCAAACACTCTCTCTTGTGTATCTGTTCAATCTCCTTCATCCACTGATTTCTGCAATATATCAAATTCACACTGATTTCTTTCCTGTCATTACACTCTGCATCTACTTCCTCACCACTCACTCTACTCAAATGCTATCACTTTCTACTCAAAACACTCTCAGTGATCTCTTTGCCACTTATCTATGTTAGTTGCTCAGCCACTTACCTAGTGTCCTTTTTATGGTCTTCATCTTCTTATCTGGCCAGCTTTCTTTTGACGCTCTTCTTAAGACTCAGAAATCTATACATTCATCTATTGTTGTACTTTTTCCCTTATGACTACCTCTTTTTTAAATTTTCTTCCTTCTACTTCCTTCCTTCCTTCTACTCAACAAATAAGAATGTTGCTTAGTATATTATCCTGGGACCTTTCACTATATAACATGAGTCATCCTATCACAATCTTATTTCTCCCTCTTGATTTTATTTTTGTCTCTGTATAGATGATTCTCAAATTTTATGTCTAGCTTTCATATTCTTTCCTAAACTCCAGAGACATACATGGAAATTTTTTTCCATGGAAATACATGTAGCTAGTTAAATTATACCTGGCCATATTTATTTCACTTTCCCCTAAGTTCAATGTAATTTTCAAATTTAATTATATACATATTTATCAAATTTCATTTATTTATAATTATGTAATTATTTGGTTTCCCAGGTGGCTCAGTGATAAAGAATCTAACTGTAGGAGACACAGCAGATGAGGGTTCAATCCCTGGGTCAGGAAGAATCCCTTGAGGAGGGCTTGACAACTCACTCCAGTATTCTTGCCTAGAAAATCTTGTGGACAGAGAAGACCAGTGGGCAACAGTCCAGAGGGTCACAAAGAGCTAGACACAACTTAGCAACTGAGCACATGTAGTTATTTATATACTAAATTTTATATGGACAATGTCTTACTCATCTTAATACATCTAGAGATTATCAGTTGTTTCTATGTATTATATACTCTAATATTTGTTGAAGACAGAAATACATATTGTAACAAGACATTTGTTAATTTATTGCAGGTGAGCATTTTGTATTCTTCCAATATAAGTATGTAGAGGGATTTGAAAGGATTGAATAGAAAGACACTGAAAAAGATTATTGCAAAATCAATAAGTCATCAAAAATCTCCCAAAGTTGCTTCAAATAATGGTTCCTAAATATTTTAACTCCTCATTATATGTACCTCTGTTCCTACTTTCTCTCACCCTCTTTGATTTTTCTGGTTTTAAAAAGCTATTTCAACATTAATAGCAAAATATCCCAGTATTCAAAGTTATGATTTTACAACTAACAAGCAGATGGAGTAACTAAGGAATATAAACAACTATGCACAATAAATTAAGACTCTTTAGGAGATTGTAAGGCAACATACAAAGGTGAATGTTAAGTTGCCTATTGTAGGAGGTACTGATAGAATTTAGAAAAGGAAATTTCAGGAAACATAACCAAAGTTCTGAAGACAGATATTTATGGAAAATATTGTAGAGAGGTTGTGATATCATAGAGAGATTGTAATAAAGAGAAACTACATAGGAAACTAAATAGATAAATTGAGGGCAGAGCTAGGAATAAGTGGAGAGCTCATATTTAATAAAGAGTCAGCATGCTTCATCAACATGAGAGAGAAGACATTAAGTATATTTGAGAAAAATTATGCTGCAAAAATTTTTATAAGAAACTGATTTTAACTACTACAGATCAAATGAACACTATCAAAGCTAACAAAGACCTGAACAAAAATAGAAGTAATGAAAATAGTGAGAAAGATTTGAATAAATGACATTTTAGAGAAAGCATTGCTAAATTTCTTCACAGATTGGGTATATAGTGGTATCAAGGAAATGGAGAAGGCAAATAGAACTCCAGGGGAACTAGATTATTGGTATTTTCAATAGTAAAAAGCAGTTTTAGCAAAGTGGCTTACTTGAAGATAGCTTATAATTGCTCTATTCAACAAACTTTAATTGATGGCCTATTACACCAAAGCACTCTGTTCAACATTCTGGAAATGCCTAAGCATCTAAATAAATAACTCGTATCCATGCTCAAGGAGATTACTGTCCTGAAAAGAGGCTAGGGTAGATTTTCCAACTCACCAATATACAAAGGAGAGTTTTCAGATTTGGCAAAATCTTCTATGTAGGAAATACCCAAAGGCATGATGGGAGTTTCACCAATTCCACGTATAATATTTCCAACTAGTACATACACCCACATTAATGATTTAACTTCCTTCACACACTCTGCATTAAAAGAAAAAAGGCATCGCATTAGTGTTTGAGTAGTGAAATATTCGCAATATTTAACTCTGAGTTTTTGGTAAGCATGTCACAGTTTTTCTGTGACCCCAGCACTTGCCAACAGTTTACGATGCCAGAGTCTGTATGCGAGGGGAGTCTGGGGGAAATGGACACATGTACATGTACGGCTGAGTCCCTTTGCTGTCCGCCTGAAAGGATCTCAACACTGTTAATCAGCCATTTTGTTGTCATTTCGTTGCCGCATCATGTCTGATTCTTTGTGACCCCAGGGACTGTAGCCAGCCAGGCTTTTCTGTCCACGGAATTCTCCAGGCAAGAATACGGAAGTGGGTTGCCATTTCCTTCTCCAGGGGATCATCCCAACCCAGGGATCAAACTCATATCTCCTGCATTTCAGGCAGATTCTTTAGCACTGAGCCACCCTAGGGAAGCCCATTAATCAACTTTTTCACGGCTGCTGTTTACTTGCTAAGCTGTGTTCGATCCTCTGAGACCCCCTGGACTGTAGCCCACCAGGCTCCCCTTTCCATGGGATTTTCTAGGCAACAGTACTGGAGCAAGTTACCATTTCCTTCTCCAGGTGATCTGACTCCAATATAAAGCAAAAGTTATTTAAAAATATAGATATTGAATTCAAAGCAATATTGCATAAAGTGAAAAAACTTTACTATGCCAGCAAAGACTCATTGGGCTATCTTTTTTGCATTTTCTAACAGATACTTAGGTATGGCCAACAATAAGTGGTATCCTGGAGCCGGTTCCTACTGGGTTAGGAGATGTGAGTATACACATCTTTTCCCAATTCAGTATTTAGCAACAGTTTGGTGAGAGTATTTACACCACAGAAATTTACAAACACTAAAAGTCATAGCCTTTTTTTCCCCTCCAGAGACTTAATTTACTAGCAATTACTAAACTTAGCTAACTGCTATAACTGCTACCCAATTTATATACGAACTTTGGGGAGAAGAAAAAACACAAGTATCTCTTTCTAGAATTGTTACTATAAGATTTAAGAGTTTAAGTTCTCTAAGGTTATAATTATTTTATAGAAACTAAAAATATTTAACTGCATAGTAATACTGAGTCCACTATGTACTTGACCCCCAAATAACTTTTTTTAAAATTGAAGTATAGTGACTTACAATACTATATTAGTTTCAGGTGTACAACATAGTAATTCAATATTTTTATAGATTATACTCTATATAAGGCTACTATAAAATATTGGCTACTTTCCCTGTGTTGTACAATATATCCTTTTGTCTGATTTATTTTACACCTAGTAATTTGTATCTCTTAATTCCCTTCTCCTGTTTTCCCCTCTCCTATCCTTCTCCCCACTGGTAATCAATAGTTTGTTCTCTGTACTTTGAGCCTGTTTTGGATTTGATATATTCATTCATTTGTTTCATTTTTTAGATTCCACATATAAGTCAAAACAGGCAGTGTTTCTCTGTTTCTGACTTATTTCACCAAGCATACCTTCCATGTTGTTGTAAATGGCAAAATTTCATTCTTCTTTGTGGCTAACATATTCCATTGTGTATATACCACACCTTCTTTATTCATTCATCTGTTGATGGATACTTAGCTTGCTTCCATATCTTGGCTATTATAAATAATGTAACTGTGAACATTGAGATGCCTATATCTCTATGAATTAATATTTTTGTTATATATATATGTGTGTGTGTACATATATATATATGTACTCATATATATATATATATATAGGAGTAGAATTTCTGAATCCTAAAGAAATTGCTACCCACTCCAGTATTCTTGCCTGGGAAATCCCGTGGACAGAAGAGCCTGGCAGGCTGTAGTCCATGGGGTCACAAAGACTCAAACACGGCATAGCAACTGAACAGCAATATGTTAGCTCTATTTTTAATCTTTTGAGGGACTTCCATACTGTTTTTCACAGTGGCTACACAAATTTACATTCCCATCAGGGGCCTACAAGAGTTCCCTTTTCTCCATATCATCACCAACATTTGTTAGTTGTCATTTTTTTTAGGACAGCTATTCTGGCAGGTGTAAGATGGTATCTCATTGTGGTTTTTTATTTGCATTTTCCCAATGACTAGTAAACTGTGCCACCTGCAGAAGTGAGTGTCCTGAACACAGCTGGATGTTGAAATTTCTTGTGATGCTATCTGTCAGTCATGTCCAGTCCAGAAAATCATAATCTCCATTTCTTGGTATTCATATTTTATCTTTGACAAGCATAAAGATTTATGTCTATAGGTATAAAGCAAACTCTAGGTTTCCTCTGAGGCAAAAATGAATATACCAAGGAATCAAGGAATCAACACACTCTCATGGAGGCACACCATATTGGGAAGGCTTTGTTTATCTACTACAAAGCACATGAAGAAAAATAGGAAATAGGACCTGAATCATTCTTTGATAAAAACCAGCTGAAGGGGAACACAGGCTACTGCTGATGTCATCGTTTCCCTTTGTTTCCCCAGGGGGTTCCTTTCGCTTAGAGTTTCTGAGACAGCTATTCTTAAACTCCTTTGAACTATTTTGAATAAGGACCCACTAGATAATAGCACAGGAAACTCTCCTCAATACTTAATAATGGCCTATATGGGAAAAGAATCTAAAAAAGAATGGATATATATATATATATATATATATATTTCTCCTCCTTCCCTCAATCTTTCCCAGCATCAGGGTCCTTTTCAGTGAGTCAGTTTTTTGTATAAGGTGGCCAGTAATATAACACAAATCTTAAGATTTTTCTTTCTACCTCTGTTTCCTGTTTAGAAAATTATATAGACCAAATCGTCAGTATAAACCTATCCTAAGATGCTTTCCACAATGGAATTAACTCTACAGCGGCCCTTGGGAGGATATATTCGACTTATTTTTTTTTAATATCTGTTTATTTATTTGGCTGCAACAGTTCTTAGTTGTGGCAGGTGAGATCTTTTTAGTTGCAGCATGTGAACCCTTAGCTGTGGTATATGGGATCTAGCTCCCTGACCAGGGATTGAACCCAGGGACCCTGGATTGGGAATGCAGTCTTAGCCACTAGATTACCAGGGAAGTCCCTGACTTTTTTTAAATAACCATTTTAAAGAATAGACAAGGCAGGCTTAGTAAGTATATGCAAATATAAGAGGACTAACATTCTCTGTTCTCCATTCCTATTCTCTGTGATCCTCTCAAAAATCCTTGGGGGAAATATCTTTTTGTTCATTTACCTTACTTAACCAAACCCAATAACCCATTCAAAGCCCCTCCATAGAAAGTGTTCAGTTACAAATTAACCAAAGTAATGAAATTTATAACCTGATGGGTCTTTTGTTGGTTTGAAAATCTGGGTTCCATTTTCCATACACAAGAAACTGTTTGAGGACAAATTGCCGGAAGTTGAAACTGTAGATTCATATTCATATCTGTATAAACACAAAAACATGCTTGTGTTATGGAATCGATGAGGACAACGTGAGCATTGTGAAGATGTTCATGCTTCATTTAAGAGACAACATCCAAACCCAGGAAATGAGGTGTCCTTTTATCTTTGACACCTAATCATCCTGGATTGATGTTGTCAAAAAGAACTCGCCACTCTTGTAAATGTGCGATTCACTCACAGTTAGCTTTTGATTATCTGCATATCTACAGTTTAGATTACCTAACTCAACCTTTTGTGATTTTTTAGGTGATCATTCCCTGGAAATATTACTGTGGGATAAGGAACAAAAACTAAGAAAAATAATAGACTCTACAAAGTATAATTAGGAAAATAAAGGCTTGTGGGGGGAGAGGAACAACATAATGAAACAAGTCTCCCACTTTTTTTCTCTAAGGTTTGCTCATAAAATACATACTCCCACTTTCTGAGAATTCAAACAATAATCTTTTCATGCATTCACCAATCTCCAAGAAAAACAAAGTATTTGCCCATCATAATGAGAGACCTTTGGATATTCAAACACTGTGACAGTGCAGTGTAATGACATTTTCTCTTCTCATAAGCACAAAATGGTTAATAGATTGTGAACGTATATTTTATATACCATAGGCAAATTACCACAAGAATCCTAGGCCCTTTCTCAAAAAGTAAATTATTTTTTAACTAATTTTTCTTGGAGTATAGTTGATTTATAATGTTATGTTAGTTTCTATTGTACAGCAAGGTGAATCAGTTATACATATACATATATCTACTACTGTGGGCAGGAATCCCTTAGAAGAAATGGAGTAGCAATCATAGTCAACAAAAGTGTCCAAAATGCAGTACTTGGATGCAATCTCAAAAACAACAGAATGATCTCTATTCATTTCCAAGGCAAACCATTCAATATCACGGTAATTCAAGTCTATGCCCCAACCAGTGATGCTGAAGAAGCTGAAGTTGAACAGTTCTATGAAGACCTACAAGACCTTCTAGAACTAACACTCAAAAAGGATGTCCTTTTCATTATAGGGGACTGGAGTGCAAAAGTAGGAAGTCAAGAAACACATGGAGTAACAGGCAAATTTGGCCTTGGAGTACAGAATGAAGCAGGGCAAAGGCTAGTAGAGTTCTGCCAAAAGAACGCACTGGTCATAGCAAACACCTTCTTCACCAACATAAGAGAAGACTCTATACATGGACATCACCAGATGGTCGACACCAAAATCATTGTGTGATTATATTCTTTGCAGCCAAAGATGGAGAAGCTCTATACAGTGAGCAAAAACAAGACCAGGAACTGACTGTGGCTCAGATCATGAACTCCTTATTGCCAAATTCAGACTGAAATTGAAGAAAGCAGAGAAAACCACTAGACCATTCAGGTATGACCTAAATCAAATCCCTTATGATTATACAGTTGAAGTGATAAATAGATTCAAGGAATTAGATCTGATAGAGTGAGTGCCTGAAGAACTATGGATGGAGGTTCATGACACTGTACAGGAGACAGGAATCAAGATCATCCCCAAGAAAAAGAAATGCAAAAAATCAAAATGGCTGTCTGAGAAGGCCTTACAAATAGCTGTGAAAAGAAGGGAAGCAAAAAGTAAAGGAGAAAAGGAAAGATATATCCGTTTGAATGCAGAGTTCCAAAGAATAGCAAGGAGAGATAAGAAAGACTT